CATTACATCCTCATATACCGCTTCCTTCCCACCTGTATACATAACACCCACCTACACGCTTCCTTCCCACCTGCATTACATCCTCTTACACCGCTTCATTCCCACCTGTATTACATTACACCCACCTACATCACTTCCTTCCCACCTGTATACATTACACACACCTACATCACTTCCTTCCCACCTGTATTACATTACACCCACCTACATCACTTCCTTCCCACCTGTTTACATTACACACATCCACACCGCTTCCTTCCCACCTGCATTACAATGGACCAACCTACACCGCTTCCTTCCCACCTGCATTGCATTACATCCACCTACACCGCTTCCTCCCCATATGCATTACATTACACACACCTACATCACTTCCTTCCCACCTGTATTACATTACACCCACCTACATCACTTCCTTCCCACCTGTATACATTACACAACCCTACACCGCTTCCTTCCCACCTGCATTACATTAAATCCACCTACATCACATTACATCCACCGCTTCCTTCCCACCTGCATTACAATGGACCCACCTACACCGCTTCCTTCCCACCTGCATTACATTACATCCACCGCTTCCTTCCCATCTGCATTACAATGGACCCACCTACACCGCTTCCTTCCCACCTGCATTACATTACATCCACCGCTTCCTTCCCATCTGCTTTACAATGGACCCACCTACACCGCTTCCTTCCCATCTGCATAGATTACACCCACCTACACCGCTTCCTTCCCACCTGCATTACATCCTCTTATACCGCTTCTTTCCTACCTGTATACATAACACCCACTTACACCGCTTCTTTCCCACCTGTATACAATACACCCACCTACATCACTTCCTTCCCACCTGCATTACATTACATCCTCCTATACCGCTTCCTTCCCACCTGTATACATAACACCCACCTACACCGCTTCCTTCCCACCTGCATTACATTACATCCTCCTATACCGCTTCCTTCCCACCTGTATACATAACACCCACCTACATCACTTCCTTCCCACTGCATTACATTACATCCTCCTATACCGCTTCCTTCCCACCTGTATACATAACACCCACTACACCGCTTCCTTCCCACCTGTATACATTACACCCACTACACCGCTTGCTTCTCGCCTGTATTACATTACACCCACTACATCGCTTCCTTCCGACTGCATTACATTACATCCATCGCTTCCTTCCCACCTGCATTACAATGGACCCACCTACAACGCTTCCTTCCCACCTGTATAGATTACACCCACCTACACCGCTTCCTTCCCACCTGCATTACATCCTCTTACACCGCTTCATTCCCACCTGTATACATTACACCCACCTACACTGCTTGCTTCCCACTTGCATTACATTACATCCACCTACATCGCTTCCTTCCGACGTGCATTACATTACATCCACAGCTTCCTTCCCACCTGCATTACAATGGACCCACCTACAACGCTTCCTTCCCACCTGTATAGATTACACCCACCTACACCGCTTCCTTCCCACCTGCATTACATCCTCTTACACCGCTTCATTCCCACCTGTATACATTACACCCACCTACACCGCTTCCTTCCCACCTGCATTACATCCTCTTACACCGCTTCATTCCCACCTGTATACATTACACCCACCTACATCGCTTCCTTCCCACCTGCATTACATTACATCCACTGCTTCCTTCCCACCTGCATTACAATGGACCCACCTACACCGCTTCCTTCCACACCTGCATTACATTACATCCACCTACATCGCTTCCTTCCCACCTGCATAGATTACACCCACCTACACCGCTTCCTTCCACACCTGCATTACATTACACCCACCTACACCGCTTCCTTCCCACCTGCATTACATTACATCCACCTACATCACTTCCTTCTGACGTGCATTACATTACATCCACAGCTTCCTTCCCACCTGCATTACAATGGATCCACCTACACCGCTTCCTTCCCACCTGTATAGATTACACCCACCTACACCGCTTCCTTCCCACCTGCATTACATCCTCTTACACCACTTCATTCCCACCTGTATACATTACACCCACCTACAGTGCTTCCTTCCCACCTGCATTACATTACACCCACCTACACCGCTTCCTTCCCACCTGTATTACATTACACCCACCTACATCGCTTCCTTCCCACCTGCATTACATTACATCCACCGCTTCCTTCCCGCCTGCATTACAATGGACCCACCTACACCGCTTCCTTCCCACCTGCATTACAATGGACCCGCCTACACCACTTCCTTCCCACCTGCATAGATTACACCCACCTACACCACTTCCTTCCACACCTGCATTACATTACACCCACCTACACCGCTTCCTTCCCACCTACATTACATCATCTTACACCGCTTCCTTCCCACCTGTATACATTACACCCACCTACAGCACTTCCTTCCCACCTGCATTACATTACACCCACCTACACCGCTTCCTTCCCATCTAAATTACATTGAACCCAC